TCATGGTATTTTCTTACAGCAGCCCTTGGAAACTAAAACAGTCTTATACTTTATGATGTCCTAGAGTTCAATATTTTTTCCAAAATAAGAAAACAAAGGAAAATAAATGTTTCTTGCTATACATCCTCTTTAAAACTTTTTAAAATTTATTAATACATCTTGTAAATATTTCCAAGTAAATGTGCATAGGGTCGCCTGATATTCTATTGTGTGTATGCACCATAATGATTTAGTCAATTCTCAATTGATGGAAATTCCAATTTTTTATATCTGTTGCTATTTAAAATATTTTTGTACCTACTGATAGAAGAATACACTACTACATATCCTTGTAAAAAAATATAAAACCTGCACCTGACCAAACCTGTGACTCCAACTACCAATTTACAGAAAACTCAGAGTACAAAAGAACCAATTAAATGAAAAAAGAAGGTTCAAGAAACAAAATCCAAACTATGAGAAACTCCATGGGGAAAACAATTTGGTTTCTTTAAAAAAATTATGAAAATTTAAAATTTACAGATTAAAAGACATAAGAACCAATCAAAATGTCTGGAATTGATTAATAAGCTGAAGTAAACAAATTATTAAAACAAGTTATGACATTTATAATAAAATTGAAAATTCAAACACTGATTAGGTACTTAATGATACTAAGGAATAATTTTTACTTTGTTTAGGTTTGATTAGCATTGCTTTTAGTTCTTACTTTTTTGAAATATACATTAAAATATGTGTGGGTAAAAGATAGTAAATCTATAACTTGTTTCAAAATGTTACAAGTAGAAGTGGGGAGAAAATAGCTAAACCAAGATTGCCTGCGAGTTGATAACTACTGGAGCTGAGATATGGCAAATTCATTATTTCTTTGTCTACTTTTGTATATGTTTAACATTTTCTAGAATAAACAGTTTTTAAATTTTTTCAGGGAACATCCTTGTGTTCATACACCTTTTTCTACTTATATGATTAAATCTGTGAGATAAATTTCTAAAAATTAGAAATTTCTAAAAATTTCTAATGTGATAGGTCACATTAAGTTCAATGTTGATAGATTTTGTCAAATTGCCCTTAGTAAGATTATGCAAATATATATGCCCGCATGGCAAGGGCATGGGCAAGAACGGTAGGGCATGTAGGAAGTCTTTATATATTAGACACACGAGCCCTTTGTGTATGGTAGAGTCTTTGCTGTGTAAGAGTAAATGCAAAACAAAAAAGATTTAAAAAATAGTTTCTCCTGATACGAAAAAGGGGTAAGAGATTCCTTTCTCTTTTCTTAGAGCATTTCCTTCAGAAAAGTTGTTATTATAAATTCTTTCTCCATCTCTCTGAGATGTGTGTATTTTTGAAACCTAAATAAGCCCCTTGTCAGCATTGCAACACAGGGTCATCTTTCCCATAGACCTGGACGCCATCTCTTTAAATGCGATCATCTAGGAAGACGGTAGCGTCCCCCACTCCCAGTCCCATGGGTGGGTAGGAGCTGACTTTGGTTGGCACCCGGCTCCCGACTGCAAGCCTACCTCCTGTCGTGAAGATGTGAGAAGTTTCGTTTTTCCTTTGGATAAGGGCAATTAGCAAACACAGATGGTTCCCTGTTGCCAGGTGAATTTAGGATGAGCTAGGTGTGACGCATGGTGACTTCAAGTCACCTTCTTCCTTTCTCTTGAGAACATGTCTGTACAGGTTGTCTCTGCTTGGTTGTACAAAACGATGAGATTTCTTTCCGTCTTTGCAGTTTTTGACGGAAGGCCTGTGATTCACATCACATTCTGGTTTCATGCCTACTCAATTAAAAACACTGTTTTCTTTCTCTTCTACTTTTGTGGCAAGGTTTTCTGGGTTGGCAGGAGATTTGTTTTTAATTATATTTTCTCATAAGTTGATATTTTTCCATGAAGATGTTAACTTTTTATGAAGCTGACTTATCATTGTTTTCTTTCACAGCTATTTTTCTTTCTTCCCCAAAGAATTCTTCTTTTTAATTACAAAAGTAATACTTACCTATAAAAAGTTCATAAGTTCATGTAACATGGGATACAATGCATCGATAAAGGATATACAAAGCATCTTCCCCATTTCCCCAACCCAAGAACCACAGTGAACATCTCAGGACAACCTTCTTATCCCCTGTCTAAACTTACATACAAGTTTTTGACAAAAATCTTCTGCACTGTCTGTATTAATTTTTTCTATTATTTTTTTTTATTTTTTTTTCCTTTTGCATCAGAACAGCCCAGAGATGTATTAATTTTTTAATGATAGCCTTATTGAGATATAATTCACATACCACAAAATTCACCATTGTAAAGTTTAAAATTCAGTAGCTCTAAGTATATCCAGGGAGTTGCGCAACATCACCACTGTGTAACTTTCGAACATGGTCGTAACCCCAGAACGAATTCCCTTACCTAAGCAGCCACTCTCCATTGCCCTCTTGAGCCCTGGGCAAGCACTAATCTATTTTCTGCCTTTACGGATTTGACTATTCTGGACATTTCACATGAATGGAACTGCACAATATGTGGTCTTTTGCAACTGGCCCTTCTCTGAGCATGATGTGCTCAAGGCTCATCCATGTTGTAGCATGGGTCAGTGCTTCACTCCTTTTTATTGGCAAGTGATATTCCATGAAGTGGACAGACCACACCTTGTTTATCCACTCATCGGTTGATGGGCCTTTGGGTTGCTTCTGCTGTTTGGCTATTATGACATATGTTGTCACTATAACATTTGTGTGCAGGCTTCTGTGTAGATATATGCTTCAATTCTCTTAGGTATATACCTAGCAGTGGACACGTGAGGTCATATGGCAGCTCTACGTTTGACCTTCTGAGGAGCAGCCAGACTGTCTTCCATAGAGGCTACACATACATTTCTCTTAGCTTTTTCTCTTCTCACAGCTATTCCTGTGAGGCCATGTAGATTCTTCTCATTCTTTCTGACAGCTGAGAAGTATTCTATAGTGTGAATGCACTGTAAATTTTGACTATGTTCCCTTAGTAACAGATATTTAGATTGTTTCTAATCGCTTACTGCTATAAATAATGCTACAATGATTTGGACACATCCTTGGACACGTGTGCCACTGTTTCAGTAGCACAGAAAGATAAAATAACTTAGTGGAAGGGGCATTTATAATTTTGATAGCTACTGACAAATTGTCTTCAAGTTCTTTATGATTTAAGGTTTCAGATGGCTTGATAATTCTCTGCCTAAAAAGCCCAGGCTTTAATCTTGAAGGTGACTTCAGATTCATCAGTCATCATGATCTGACCACGGTTATTCAGAAACTTTGAATAAATTGATGAGGAGATAATTCTGATGTGAATACAGGTTCCAAGAAATTCAGCTGGAAGCTACAATTTACTGCAATTCTAATCGTTGATTTTAGGGTGTCCATTAGGTGACAAAAAATTTCATTCCTTAAAGAGAAGTTATAGATTTTTGATCCTATAAAAGGGTCAGAACTAAGCAGTGAAGTGATGATGATCTGCCTCTCAGGACGTGGAAGGTGTGTGCACTAACTTAGCTCGGCATGCACTGCAACTGCTGTTTGTTCACACGCATCACCCATCTGGCAAGCAAAAGCAAACGACGAGGCACACCCAGCACTTACACTGCCATGTGGTGTGTTCATACACACATATCAGCCTGGCAACCAAGAACACAACCACATGGCACACCCAACACTGCACACCTAAGGTATAGGAAGCACATTTGGGGTTTTCCACCAGGAACTGTATTTTGGACCCATGGGGTATTCTATACAGTTGCAAAACTTCTTTCTTTGAAATCAAATTTTCATTTTTCAAAGAGGCAAAATAACTAGAACAAAGCCTGATAAGGTAAATTATCATTCAGAATAAGGCATTTTCTTTGGGAGAATGGGAACAAGGAGAAGAGGAGATTTTTAAAAAAGAGTGGTGTTTTCCAAGCGTGAACCTGCATGTAAACTGTGGCCAATAATGACATGTCAGAGCAGGCTGGTGGGCTGCGATCCACGGGCCACCCTGGTGGGGGACGTGGACACCGGGCGGTTGTGCGGGTGTGGGGGCAGGGCTACGTTGAACTCTCTGTGTCTTCAGCTCACTTTTGCTATAAACCTAAAACTGTTCTAAAAAACAAAACTTTTTTTTAAAACAAGAGTCATGTTTTGAAGACTGGCCTTAAGAACTTTTCTAAGGAAGAGTTCCAAAAGCACTGAGCACAGTAGCACCTTTGAAACAGATATGCACCTTTGCTAGCTGCCTACCTGGCCCAAAACACGTCTACATGGGTGGGTCTGTTCCAGTACATGTGTTCAAAACCGTGTTTACTTCTTTGTTACTTTTGTTATACTGAATGTGGACAGTAGACCCATAAATAATGGAAATTAAAAACATGTAAGTGAGGAATTTCTTCTTCCAATAATAACTGACGGGGTGATTGAAACCGAGTCTCTGTGGAGCACACAAGAAAAGCTGGAAAATATGTCAACACCTGCTCTTTGGCACAGGGGAGACAACAAGATGTGTAGAATGGCTGGGCCAGTGGGGAGGTTGAGGGGAGGGGAGGCTGGCATTCAAGAAGTTGGAAAAAATGATAAGCACAAAAAAACTAGATGGAAAAACACAATAAAGTCAACAGCAGAAATCAATGAAATAGTTGACACACAACAAAGAGAATCAATAAAACTAAAACTTGGTTCTTGGAGAAGTCCAGTAAAACAAATAATCCTCAGGCAAAAGTGACCAAGGAAAGAGAGAAGAGTGGGGACAGAAAACAGATTCAACATCAAGAATGAAAAGTGGGCTGGGAGCGGTGGCTCATGCCTGACAAGCAAAAGAAAGTCACGAGGCGCACCCAGCACTTATACCCCCACATGGCGGGAGGATCACCTGAGGCCAGGAGTTCAAGACCAGCCTGAACAACACAGCAAGACCCCATCTCTACAAAAAATTAAAAAATCATCCAGGCATGGTGGTGCACACTTGTAACCCAGTGTTTTGGAGGCTGCGGCAGGAGCATCACTTGAGGTCAGGAGTTCGAGGTTACAGTGAGGTATAATCTGCCACTGCACTTCTGTGAGACACTGTCTCTAAAAAAAAGAATGAAAAGAGGCATCACTACAATTTTTGCAGAATTAACATGGGAATAAGAGAATGTCATGAACATTTTATAATAATTATTTGAAATTGTATTAAATGGACAAGTTCCTATAAAAATACAACTTACTATTGATAGAATTCAACTCACCTATGATTTCTGCCAAACATTGAAGGAAGAATATAAAGTCAATCTTTCATTAAAAATAGGGGCTATATCCCAGCTCATTTTATGAGGCAGCCATAGTTTTGTCACTGAGTTCTTACCACAGACTGAATGCTTGTGCTCCTCCCCTCAAAATTCATATATTAAAACCTAATCTTCAATGTGAGAGCATTGGGAGGTGAGGCATTTGGGGGGTGATGAGGTCACGTGGACAGATCCACACAGTGGGGTTACTGCTCATATAAAAGAGGCCCAGAGAGCCTCCTGCCCCTCCACCACGTGAGGTTACAGGCGTGAGCCACCGCACCCAGCCGGCAGATTAGGTTTCAACATACGGATTTTACGTGGACACAGACATTCAGGCCCTGGCACAGGCCAGCCTGCCAGCAGAATGCAGTGGCATCCAGAAACACCCCTGCATAGGTGGCTTCCAGGGTGCAGCAAAGGTAGCACTGCAGAGTGTGGGGAAAGACAGGCTTTTGAATAAACGGTGATGGGGCAATTAAGTATTCACATGAGGTTAAAAAAAAAAAAGAAAAGAAAAGAAAAGAAAATTTTAACTCCTACTTAACCACTGTACACAAAAATCAATACCAGCTGGATTCTAGACCTATGAAAAGTAAAACATTAAATGCTTTGATAAGAAAATATAGCAAAATGTCTCCCTGACCTCAGAGGAGGAAAACATACACTAAGCAAGACACAAAAAACTCTACCATAAAGAAAAAGTTGCAACCTTCAGACTACATTTTAATGAAGAACTTTGGTCCATTATAAGAAACCTTAGTAGAGCAAAAGCCAAGCCACAGAGTGGGGAAGACATTTAACTAACAAATAGCTTGTATTTCAGCTACGTGAAATATACAGAAGTTCCCATGGCACTTCTATAGATAAGAAGCACCCTGGAAAAAGCGGTAAAGCACTTCAATAGGCACTTTGCCAAAGAAAATATTAAAACTGACAATAGCATATTTAAAAAGTTCTTAACCTTGTTAGAATGTAAATGATAACATTGAGGTACTACTGCACACACACAAGAATAGTTAAAGTTAAAAAGAGTGACAATAACACATTGCTATGGAGTGAATGTGTATGTCCCACCAAAATCTGTATGTTGGAATTCTAACCCCCAACGTGATGGTATTTGGAGGTGGAGCCCCTGGGAGGTGACCAGGTCATGAAGGGTGGAGCCCTCGTGAGTGAGATTAGCACTTATTTAGAAGGCCTGGAGGAACATGTTTGCCCTTTGCCCTTCTGCCACGTGAGGACACAGCCACAAGGCACCATCTGTGGAGCAGAGACCCTCACCAGACTCTGAGTTTGCTGGTACCTGGATCTTGGACTTGCCAGCCTCCAGAACCATGAGCAATAAATGTCTTTTGTTTACAAATGACCCAGTCTAAGGCATTTTGTTAGAGCAGCTTGGATGAATTAAGACACATAGTGGTGAGGTTGCAGAGAAACAGAAACTTCTGGACACTGCTGGTGGGTCTGTCAATGGCGCTACCTCCTTGAAAACTATTTGGCTCTACTTGCTGAAGCTGAAGATGCACACCGGATGCTGAGGCAGTGTCCCTGGCAGGTAAATGCACAGGGAAATCCACAGGTGTGTGGCCAGTGTGAGAAGGGCACCTCACCCCTGTTGTGTTATTTCCCAGATCCCAGAACCCCACTGGAGCTGTGAGAAAAACATGAGACGCACCCAAATCGAGACGTGTCCTACAAAATACTGACCAGTATACTTCAAAATTGTCAAGGCCACTAAAAAGGAAATACCACCGGAGAAACTGGCACAGAGCAGAGGAGGCCAGGGAGACGGTGACTATTAAAGGGTACCCTGGGTAGGACTTAGACGCAGATGAAGGACATTCATGAGAATGCCGACAGAACCCAAACGACGTGCGGGGTTTAGTTAGCAGCAAGGCGCCAGCATTGGTTTCCTAGTTGTGACAAATGTACCGTGACAACATAAGATGTTAACAACAGAGGAAATGGGGCCTGCACTATAAATGAATTCTTTGTGCCATCTCTGCATTTTCTTCGCAAATCTAAAGCTATTCAAAAATCTATTTTAAAAACAGGTTAGCGAGAACTCACCTGTGTATAATTGGCTGTTCTCTTTGGGTTTAACTTCAGGAGGTATTTTCTTCTCTCTCCACCATTGCCAATGTTATGGATCATCTATTAAATGAAATTTCACGAAAAAGCATTCATCATCTCACACTTGGGAACAATCACAAACATACGAATTTGTGGAAGGGATATTCTGCAGGTTTATATAACGATGCCATTTCTGTTTCCCTCACACTGGTGAACGCCCGAAGGGTTCATTACTTGGAGGAAGGGGAGGCAGGAACATTTATACTGAGACCAGTGGAGCACCTGGGGATTAGAGGAAGACTTTCCAAAATTGAAAAGCTGTCAAAAATCTGATCAATAAGAAAGAAGTCGAATTAAGAAGACAGACTAAAAAATACCTGAAACTGAAGGTTTATATCATTTAAGTAATTTTAGTTCTTTCCCGACGTTAGAATATAAGAGCAGCCCCGTCTGTCTGACTCTCCTCTATAGCCTAGAGTGTGGTTTTCTCCCCCACATGCAGCGTCGTCCACAGAGGCTCGAATAGTTGCAGCTCGCACTGGGGCGTGCAGCGAGGAAACGATGAGCAAGGCTTTATATGGAACTGTTTTCCTTTGGTGCACAATTTCCCAGCAGTGTCAATCGGGTGCAGGAACAGCCACAGCCCACGGAGGTCAGGGAGAAGACCAGTGTGAGGAAGACCTGACCTCGAGTCCCTGGGCCCCTCTGTCTTGTGCAGCGATCTCTGTCTGGTGTTAACTGTCAAATCCAAGTCCCGGACCCGAGCAGCGGGACACAAGCACCCAGCTCGCTTCAGAGAGGAAACCAGAGCTCCATGTCCAGTCCGGGGCAGGGCAGAGAAAAGTGTAGCTAAGAAGGCCAGAATACTCTTTCCATCGTTTACTTGGAATTTCCCACCTATAATGGAAGGGCCGGCTGTAAATGCATACTGCGCCCTGGTCGGGATGCAGAGGGACTCTGCTCAGCCTGCACGGCCCTGAGATGCCTTTTACTAAGTGTTGTTTACAGACTCAGCAATCTTCCATAGCCACAGAACAATGGATGAGGAGCCTTCTGTGGCTGATTTAACACCTGTACATACCCTCAGGGGGTGGCTGCAAATTTGAAACAGAACTTGCTCCAGTGGTTCCCAAACTGTCCACTAAGGAACCCTGGTGGTGCCACAGGATGCTTTCTGTTCCTGAGAATACACACTAACATTCCTGGAAACTACTAGCTTGAGGGTGATCATGATTTTAACATTAGTTGCCTTTAGATGATGCCACATGGAGCTGGGTTTTCTTCTTCAACTGCTGCAATAAAAAGCAAGAATCAAGCAAAAATCAAGGTAGAACAGGAAGTGAGTGTGGCTGTGCCCAACGATTGCAAAGATTGAGAAATTGTACACTGACCAGTAGGTGTGCTCACCCATGAGCAAGTGACCCTGGTCATTTAAGGATGAAATTAATTATTTCATTTTGATTTATGTGTGTTAGTGTTTATCTAGTTGTGAGGACATGAATACTTATTAAGCTGTTTGAACACTAGTACTTAATAAACAGAACTGTTAGGCATTTTTTTTGGCCAGTGGGTGCCACAAAAAAGCTACCATGCACTAGCAGGGTGCCCTGAACCGAGGGGAAACTCTGGAGCAGGCAATATTGTCCTCAAACTAGCAAAGGGGGTGAAAACAAACCCAGAGCCTGCAAAATGACCTGCTTATTTCTTTCTGAAATTCTTCCTATTATTTTATCCAAGTTGAATGGCTCATAAAGCTTTGGCTCTCTATTATCCCAAACCCAAAAATATATTTCCAAATATTATTAAAGAAAATAATCTTTTAAAAATAGAAGAACATTATCCAGAGACTAAAGTATAATATTCCAAATCAGATCCGAGATTTCTATTCCCCTGTCTTCTATTAACTAACTGGTGGCCTTTGGCCGGTTACTTAACTGAAAATCCCTCCTGCTGTAGATTGAGTAGGTCCTTTTTTATAAAATTAGAAGTCAGAGGAAGCAGAAACTAAACTTATGAGCAAGGTTATAAATGAAAAACAAACAAAAACAAAAAATCCATAACCACTTAGTGACAACTCAATTAATGAATCCTCTGAGGGAAAAGAGTCTATGTGTAAACATTGTCTCTGATTAAACAACAACAAGAACTAGAGAGGGTCACCTCATGAACCTCCTCTGACAGCCTTGGCTTTTATTTACAGGAGTTGAGGACATTCTGGGGGGGGGGGAGGTGGCAGACACTGTTCACGACCACGTGTAAGTGTGGGGGCAGGGCGGCCGCCCTCAACACCCCCCCCCCCCCCCCCCTCCCCCCGTCCTCGTCACACACACATTCTGTCCCAGACTGTCAGGATCTCAGCTTCTGAGCATCAGTATTCTTCTACTTTCTTCTTTTTTTTTTTTTGAGACAGACTCTCGCTTTGTTGCCCAGGCTAGAGTGAGTGCTGTGGCGTCAGCCTAGCTCACAGCAACCTCACACTCCTGGGCTCAAGTGATCCTTCTGCCTCAGCCTCCCGAGTAGCTGGGACTATAGACATGTGCCACCATGCCCAGCTAATTTTTTCCTATATATATATTAGTTGGCCAATTAATTTCTTTCTATAGTAGAGACGGGGTCTTGCTCTTGCTCAGGCTGGTTTCGAACTCCTGACCTCAAGCAATCTGCCCGCCTCGGCCTCCCAGAGTGCTAGGATGACAGGCGTGAGCCACCGCGCCCGGCCAGTATTCTTCTACTTTCTACACTCCGAATTTCTATTAGAATTTAAGAGGCTCAAAGCCGTGGGCGTGGAGTCACAGTGACTGATCATTCTTTCCGACTGTCTGGCTGCTCTGACTCACCTGGAAAACCCCACCCCTTAACCACCGAGCGGCACCGCTAACCACACCTTAACCGCCAAGCAGTACCCCTAAACCACCCCTTAACCACTGAACATCACCCCAAACCACTCCTTAACCACTGAGCAGCCCTCTTAACCCACCCCTTAACCACTGAGCAGCACCCCCAAACCACCCCTTAACCACTGAGCAGCGCTCTCAACCCACCCCTTAACCACTCAGCAGCACCCCCAAACCACCCCTTAACCACTGAGCGGCACCCTTAACCTACCTTTTAACCACTCAGCAGCACCTCCTTTACCTGTGAAGGGGAGAAAGAAGAACCCCCAGATGGGCTCCTTTTCCATGGAGCTAGAAGGAAGTTTGACATGAGTGTAAAAGATAAACATTGACTAGAGTCAAAGGACAATGTTAAAAGAAAACAAGATCAGAAAAAAATTGACTTAGTTTTAAACTGAGAAAAAATGTATCTTATTAGAGGAGAAAAAGATATCAAAATTGATTAAATTCAAGGAGGCAGTAAGTCAAGATAAAAGGAAAGTCCACTATGACATTATTTTATTCTTTTTTTCTTTTATTTTTTTCTATTTTATTCTTTTTTATTTTATTTTATTTTATTTAAATATATACTTAGAATACAGTGACTATATATGACATTAATACAAATAGAAAATTGGCCCATTTTTGTAAGGAGCTTAAAAAGAATTACATGAACAAGATGAAGAAATGTTGGGGTCTAAAGTGAAGAGGAATAAAGTCACCTATAAAACATTTTAGTGTTTTAATTCAAATAGTATTCTAGAAGTAAATCTGAGGAAAAACAGGATTAATGTAAAGAATGTGCAATGTACAAGGTTGGGCAGAAACAACCGGTGCTGAAGACCCAGGGGACATCAGATGTCTGCAGTCCCCTGGGTTTTGTGTCTGTGTTCATAGTGATACTGGTTGGAGTTTTCTCTTCTTGTGATGGACTTCTGGTTTTGGTATTGGGGTAACACTGTCCCCATAGCATGAGTGGGGGCCTCTCTTCTATTTTATGGAAGAGTTTGTGTAGCATTGGTGTTAATTCTTTGAGTATTTGGTGGAAGTCAGGGCTGAGCCTCTGGGCTGTCATGCTGGGTAGTTTTCGACTACCCAGGTTTCCGACTCAATGTCTTCCTGTCCACTGCCACCCACCGCTCCTCTCACCCTCCCTGCCCCCATCAACCTGTCCCTCCCATCACCCCCCGCCAGCTGTGAGGGAAGACCCACCACCTGAGTGCCTGTCCTCGCCCACACCCACGTGCCCTTGCTTCTGGACCCTGTCTGACGAGGGAAGAATCCAGACATCCATTCAGGCCAGTCCTCAGGGCTTATTCTATGCTCCTCGTTTCTATCAACTTGCTCATCTGTTAGTGGGTACTGGAGATGCCACTTTATGGCTTGAAAAAGCCAAAGGGGCCACTCTCCACAAGGACCTTCAAGAAATCAGAGCACCCTGCAGCTTACAGACTGAAACCACAGGGGAGAGACATAGAATCCGTCCCACTGTCCTCCCTCAAAACCTGACGAAACCGCCTCCAACTACAGACATAAATTAGACAATGCTTGGAAGGACTTCTCTGGTCTCATTCCCAAATAGCTTCTGCCTTGGTCACTGGCTTCATTAATGGCGTATATCATAATTAGAGATGTTACCCAAAAACACAGTGTAAGAGGGCAGAATGCTCCTCTCTCTGAAATAAAGACACTAGACCAACACTACGAGACAAGGACACCGTTGCAGAATAGCCCTATAAACACGATGCAGACTAAGGGCTTCACAATGTGAACTCTTTTGGAAGGAAACAAGCCGGTGCAGTCTGTTCCCTCGGACCCCACAGCGGGGGCACCTGCAGATTCTGTAAAGAAAAGGGATATTGGACTCTGGATCGCTCAGTCTTGGAATGCAAAAAGGAATCAGAGTCTAAAAGTCTATCTCCCCAATTAATTTTCTCCAGGGGCCCTCTCCCATGTGTCCACAGTAACTCAGTGTCCCATCCCTGTCAACGGCCACCCACCACCTGGTGGACTCTGGGCAACACAGGCCGCAGTTCCCATGTCTTGTCCTGCCGCCCTTGGAGCTCACAAACCACACCCGGGAATTCCTGCATGACTTGCCTTTATCTAGACCTCTTCTCTTCACTGGGCCTCTCACCACCCAGCACTTCCCGCTCCGCCACTGCCCCAGCAAGCCTTCCGGGGGGACAGCCCCCTTCCAGCTGGAGCAGCGGAGATCCTGCCTTGCCAGGGGCCCACCCTGAGCCACCCGCTCTGTGTGCACCTTTGTCCTTGAGTGGCTCTCACTGACCACCCACCTTTTCTTGCTCCTGTTCAAAGTCCCTGAACGCCCTCAAGTACCCACTATGTTAACTAAGACACCTGACCCCCCGTGGGCCCCTCACTCACCTGACACGGCCAAACACCAGACAGGGTAGGCTGAAACAGACCCTCCTTGCACCCCTGAGACAATCCCAATGGCCTCCCCAGCTACGGTTCAGGCCTCTGTGACAAGGGGCTGGTGGTCCCTGTGCCCAGTCCCTGTAATAATATTGGCTTCCCAGGAAGGCAGCCCAATGGCAAGGGACACAGCTAGTCCCAGACTTGGGAACAAAATCCTGAACAGTGAAGCCCAGGCTCTTCCTGCTCCCAATCCAACACCGCCTGGCCTCCGTCCCACCCAATGCCACTCACTGCAGCCCGTGACTGATGTCCTGAGGTTTCTGGCATCCCTCTTGACCCCAACTCACAAGATGCTTTGCCGTCATGTGGAAAGCCGGCAGTGCAGCGGGCCTTCGCAGGCCCCGACTTGACTGAGCCCTACTGACACTGCAGGCCCCGGGACGAACCCAGAGCTGTGGCCTCTCCCTGGAGCCCGGCCCGGTGCAGACCATCTTCTCTGCTCTCTAGGTCTCAGCAGCTCGCGGCCGATGCCCAGTGCTTGCTCCAAGCTCTCGCCCGCGGGGAACACAGTCGCTGGAGACAAACCGCAACCAGGCAGCCTTCCCGCAGCTGACCCCGGACCCCGCATCTCCTCTGAAGGGGAGAGGCCATTCCCTGAACGCGCCAACGCCACCACCAAGCCCCTCCCTGAGACCAGACGGCAACGAAGGGGTTCCTGAAAGTGGCCATAGGACCCTGACGTTCCCCCATCTCCTCTTCCTTGTGCGCCATGACAAAGGAGATGCCACTGGGCCCCACGTGGGGACTCTTCTGCCACGTCTGCATCTCCAACCTCGAGCCCTGTCTGTTCTCTCGCCCACACTCGGACTTCCCCATTGCACACGACCATTTTCCCTTCTTGTGTGTCCAACGAAAGGACACACTTGCATGGTTCTCACCCAAACATGCAGCGGAGGCCGTAGGCCTGCTGGGGGCCCGGAGGCTCAGCCTTGGCCCCTCGGCTGTGTGTGGGTGGCACTGCCACTGAGTGGGCCCAGGGCACTGCCAACGTCATTCCAGGACGTCCACTTGCCTCAGCTTAACCCACACAGCTCAGACCCAGGAACACCTGCTGCTTTCTGCCTCTAGACGGGCTCCTGCGAAATCCTGCTTCGTCCCCTAGCTTGTCACTGTTCCCCCTGCAGAGCCTCAGGGCAGGTCCTCTTCCTCCCGTCCTCCCTCAGCCGAGGGTCCCTCCCCAGGTGCTGCCAGCGCAGCCCTCTGCTCCCCTCACCCAACCTGGCCAGACTCCTCTCAGATGCCCAGTTACCTTCCTGGTGAAGCTCTTCCTTAGGTGACCCTCACAGACAGCCACCCCCCACTAAGTGTGGCCCCCAGGCTAAATCAGGCCCTGTAGCCACAGTGAGACACACCTGCTCACGCAGGGAGCAGGAGAGAGAGCGGAGGGACGGCTGGAGTCCCACATGCTTCTGGAGTACTGTAGAAACAAAGAGGTTCGAGACAGCGCTGGGGACTGGGCCTCCATCCTGCCACTCTGGGGAGCTCAGCCTGCCGTGGCCCAGGGTCCTGCCCTCAGCCCCGATGAGCCTCCCGTGTCCCTGTGCCCGGCAATAGTCACCACCACCCAGCCTCAATCCTGGCTCCTTCTGGGCCTTAGGAGGCTCAAATCTGATCCAATCACATCCTTAAGGACTTCCACGTCCTTATAAAGTGCACTCACACTTGTCCCAGTGGTGAAGCCTGCCTTCTGCCAGACACCCCCGCAGCCTTTATGTGACCTTCGGGTCAGAGACCAGTCTGGAAAGACACTGCCCAAAGACCACCCTGAGCCCTGGTGGAAGGGCCCTAACCCTGTCCTGCAGCACTAGCTTCCTGTTGCTGCTGCAACAAACCCCACGCTTCTAGTGGCTCAGCACAACTTGAATTTATTTTAACAGTTCTGGAGGCTAGAAGTCTGAAATCACTTTCTCTGGGCTAAAGTTGAGGTGCTAGCTCCTTCTGGAGGCTCGAGGACGGGGTCCCCTTCCTTGCCATTTCCAGCTTCTGGGGGCGGCCTGTGGTCCCCAGCTCCCTGCCCCTACCCTCTCCCCAACTTTGGGCCTCCATCCTCACATAGCCTATGTGCCACTTCCCACCCCACCGCAGCCCCCAAACTCACTGCCCTCTCATAAGGACCCACCCAGATAATCCAGCATAATCTCCTCATCTCAAGATCTTTAATTTAATCACACCTGCAAAGTCCCTTTTGACATATAAGGGCACATTCACAGTTAAAGAAGAGTAGCAGATGGTTATTTTTGGTGGGGGACATTAATCAGCTTACTGAATTGCTAACTCCGTAGCAAAACTACAAGAAGTACAAGTGTTGGGGCTGGGCACAGTGGCTCACACCTGTAATCCCAGGTCTTTGGGAGGCTGAGGTGGGAGGATCACTTGAGGCCAGGAGTTTAAGACCAGCATGAGCAACCCAGCAAGACCTTGTCTCTACAAAAAATTTTTTAAAAATTAGCCAGGCATGATGGCACACACCTGGTCCCAGCCACTGGGGACACTGAGGCGGGTGGATCACTTGAGCCCAGGAGTTGGAGGCTGCAGTGAGCTGTGCTGGCCCCACTGCACTCCAGCCTGGCCGACGGAGCCAGACCCTATCTCTAAAAAGAAAAAAGAAAAAAGGTACAACCTTGGATTCATGTTTAACGACTTAACAAATACAAGTCTTCCTCCAATTGGGATCCACCGCGAGAGAAGACCTTAAATCGAGGCTCTTTCAAGAGCCCCAGAAGCAGACGATAACGTGCACTAGGCTGATCTGCAAGGGTCCCCAGAAGAACCAGTGACATCGTGAAAGGGTCAGCTTCCACCAGAGCCCAGAAACAACGTCCCCTGAGAGTCCCCACTTAACCCCACTGTCTTCCTTCTTGTCTG